GACGTGGTCAGTGGGACCCCCCCCCCCACCATACCCTCTCCCTCCATCTCAGAAAGCTAAGCAGGGCAGGTGGGGGCCCAGGCCCCTTGACCCTCCCTCGGCTGGGGTGCGCGTTGGCCGTCGTGGTGCTGCCTCCTCCAAAGCTGCCCCTGGTCTCCACTGGGACCTCTCTTGACTGGCTAGAAGGGGGCGGGGGTGGTGTGTGTGTGTGTGTCGCTGGGGTCACTCCCTGGCCCAGCACCCCAGCTTTGACCCGGTGGCTCCCGGCGCCTAGCCCTGCTTGTTTAAGGCGGGGCTCCCTAACTGTGACACGGGGTGGCATCCCTGTGGCCAGAGGAGACCCAGCTGGTGCCCTGGCCCCTGTGGTCTCACCAAGATTTGATTTGAGGTGGCCCCCGCTTTGGGAGAACAAAAGAAAACTGACACAGTTTGCTCAAGTGACATATTTCAATATAATCTCTAAACTCTATGAATTGAACAGATAAAATACCTCTGGGCTATTTTGTTACAAAATATTTGCCATTTGGATCAGTCGCTGGGTGCAGCCGCCCTGCCTTTCCCTAGCGCGGTTTCTCTCCCACAGGTGACGGGGCGTGTGCGGGTGGAGGGGTGCCGCAAGGATGTATGTACAGCAGGACACAGGGACAGACGGACCGATGGTTATCAGGGAAGCCTATTGGCACAAAGAGACATCTGGCAGGCCGTGGGGGTTGCTGGGGGGTCAGGGGCCCAGGGCCGAGCACGTGGTGCCTTTGCACATAGGCAGCTGGGTTCCCAGGACCAGCTGCCCCGCAGGGTCTTGCTCCAGCTCTGGAGGTGGGCTGGCCCCAAAGTGGGTGGAAAGCTAGTTCCATCTCCCACTCCTGATTCTGGAGTTGGGGCCAGATGGATAAAACTGGGAGGTGGCTCCGTCCCTGAAGTAAGGCCTGGAGGGCTGACAAATTGGGGCCATCTCGGGGTGCCCAGGCAGGTACCAGGAGGCTGTGTCTGGGGCTCAGTCAGCGCTCCACTGCCCCCTCGGCCTGAGGAGGGCAGGAGGGCCCGGGAGCATCTCCAGCTGGGCCCTCGGGGAGGATGGAGGCCCTGATGTGGCCCCTGCCACGGGGAGGGCAGGAGGCTCGTCCCAGCTGTCTAAGGGTGAGGCTCTGGGGACGGGGACAGAGGAGGGTCCCAACCTTAGCCTGTTGGCTGATCAGGGGAGGGAGGTTACAGGTGCTGGGACCTCGCTTCCCCTACTGTGGGGATTGCCAGGGGCACCCTGTCCCAGGCCTTCGGGGATTAAAAGCCCCTTGCAGCTCAGGATTGGCTCCATGTGCTGCTGAGTACAGGCTGGTCTGCTGCCTAGGCCAGGACTCCCGGTGCTGTTGGGGTATCCGGGGCAGCCGCTGCAGTGATGGGGTTGGGAGGGAAAGCCCCCACCTGGAGAAGGGCGCTGAGATGCCCCAGCGTCCGGGCCCTCAGAGAGAGGTTCTGTGCACGCACCAGCCCGGGGACCCTGATGGCCCCAGTCTGGAAAGTCTGGGCTTTGGCAGAGTGGGAAGAGGGCACTTGTCAGCTGGCCACAGCGTGTGAACGGGGGACGGGGGGACTCCTGGCGGCCGGGACTGTGTGCTTGCTCAGCAGCCTGGCACCCACGGTCCCTGCCATAGACACCTAGCCACGCGTAGCCCCTCTTTCTGCATAGCTCACAGCCCTGCTGCCGGCCCGTAGCTCCACTCTGCTCCCAGCCCTGCATCTGAGACTCACCCCCCCACCCCACAACTCCACTTCCTCCTGCACCCCCACCCTGCTGCCCAGGCCGAGGGCACTGCGTGTGTGAACCCACGGGTCAGCCGCTCCTTTCCGAAAGGCCCTGATTGGAGTGACCCTGTTACAGAAAAGACATGGGAGAGGGGCCAGAGCAACAAGGACCGGGGGGGGGTGCGGGGAGATGGGCTGGGAGCCACCGCGGGAGGTGGTGGCAAACTGGTCACACGTTATGGACACCCGGCTGACACAGACAGGGCCAGAAATAAACTCGCTGGGTGACATCATAATGACGTCTGGCGATCACTCACATACACACGAAACTAGGTCACCTGGGACCTCTGGGAGGAGGAGGCATCCAAGCCTCCTGACGGCCCCAGGGGCTGTGGCGGGGGTGGGGGTGGGGTGCAGAGAGCAGATTCACTCTGGACCGATGTTCGCTTCCGTCTCTTGGGACATCTTGGGCCTGGGCTCCTAGTGGGAGGGGATCTCAACAAAGGACAGCAGCGAACTGTTGGCTCAGGACCAGAGAAGGGTCCAGCCTGGCTTGTAAGAGACAGTCCCTGAAAGGGCCGTGCTTGGGGCCAGCCAGGGCACCCACCCTGGGGTCTTTGAGGATGGGCTGCCTAGGCTCTGTGGCGGGAGGGGGCTGCACAGAGGTTGGCTCTGATTCTGCTGGGCCCCAGGGAGGACAGCGAGCCCTGCTTGGCTCTCCTTTGCAGTTTTGAGGGTTTCAGCCACCCTGACTGGAGGCAAGCCTGGGGCCTTGCGGGGGAGATGGGAGGGGGAGGACTTAAAGGCCTCAGGGCTGGTTTGGGATGGCGGCAGGGGGCAGGCAAAGGCCTCTGGAGCACCTGCTTCTCCTGCCCCTTCTGCATCAAGTCCCTCCTGGGGACCGCGGAAGTCACTAAGGAGGGTGCCCTGACCTGTGGGAATCCTGTGTCTGCTGGCTGCGTGTGCCTGGGCAGATCCCCCACCTCACCTGCTTCTACCTCTGCACGTGGTTGGACCTGGTTCTCCCATGTGGGTGTGTATTTCTGCCCTGGGTGCACTTTGCTCTGGCTGGCATTATTTGGAGCTAGAGAGCAAGAAACCCTTAACACTTGCGTTTTGTAGATACAGGACCTCATGCCTCCAGGGCTCTGCTGGGCTGGCTGAGAGAGCCGAGGGGCACCCCCTTCCCCCCGCCTTTCTCGAAGCTCTCCTGAAGTTTCGCGCCCTGGGCAGGCCGGGCCCCAGCTCTGAGAATGCAGGAGAAGGCCGTGAGCAGGGGGAGGCTGTGGTCAGGACGGCCAACGTCCCTGGGGATACTGCCCCTCAGACTGCTGGGCCCGGGGGGCAGGGGCAGCAAAGCCCCTCCGCACACTCCCACCCGACCTGGCCGTCCAGGGACCCAGGGCCGACTGTTGCCCACCCAGTGTGGCACCTAGTGCCGGGGCAGCGAACCAGACCACCTCTGTCCAAGTCTCGGGTGCTGGTCACCCAGCCCCCAGTGCCTGCCTGCCTGGCCTGAGGCCTGGGGCCCAACAGACTTGGCCTGGAAGCTGGCTAGGCCCTTGGCTCCTGTTTCCCCTGTCCATGGTCCAAGTGGCCAGAATGGTGGTGGGGGAAGAGGAGGCCCGGCGTGCCTGGCTGTGTAGGGCCCCAGGGAGTGAGGGGTGCCTGCAGATTCAGGGGGAGGCCTGCTCAGCTGAGTGAGGGAAGCCGGGGCCAGGCAACCAGGTGCCAGGGGGCGGGATTCTCTTTCCAGAACGACAGTGATGGGTGACCAGGAACACAGTGTGCCGGGCGTGGGGAGCAGCAGGTGATGGGGCAGTGGGGGCTGCTGGCTGCATCCCAGGTCCTGGGGCAGCAGCGTGGCGGAGAGCGGTCGGGGACAGAGGCTACACCAGGCTCCTGGAGCCACTGGAGCAGCGGCGCCGGTGCAGCAGGGAGCCGGGTGGGCAGAACTGGTGAGGGTGGTTGTAGGGGGGCGGAGGCGGGGGCAGTGGGGGCTGATGGATGACCTTGACCGGGGAGCCTGGGCCACCCAGGGGCGTGGAGCCACAGGAGTCAGAGGAGGACGCTGCGTAGCAGGAGAGAGCCTGGCTCAGCAGGGGCTCCATGCGGGCCAAGCAGGGCTTGTCCAGGACGATGACCTTGACAATCTGCTGGCACTGCACCAGGGTCCCAGGGGGTGTGGGTGGCGGCAGAGGCAGCGGCAGGGGCTGCTCCCTCAAGGGGCTAGGCTGCAGGTCTGGTGCCGGCGCTCCCCTCTCGGCCCCCAGCCCGGGGTTGTGCTGGGACGTTTGAAGCCTGTTGTGAATTGACACCTAGTTTAGAAACAGCCAGAGAAGCGTGAAATGTTACAAGACTAATTCCCAGCTGCTAGGACTGGCCGCCCCGGGCCTCCCTTCCCCCCTTGCCCGGCTCCTGCGCCCAGAGGGGCTCTCAGCCCTCACCCTGGCCCACTCCCATCTCCCCACCACTTGGGGGCACCTGGGAGCAGGCAGAGGCCAGAAGCTGCTGTGTCCTGCCCCAGCCCGTGCAGCCTGGCTCTCTGGGCCTGGCTCCCATCTGTGAAATGGACGGTTGGACCAATGGACTCAGGTTCTGCAGTCTCACCCCATGGACCTGCTGGACATCCCTGGGCTCTGGGAGAGCCCCCACCTGCTTCCCCACCAACCTTGAGCTGGAAAAGCAGGAAAAGCAGGGGTAGTGGTCTCTGTGCCCTCCCTGCCTCTTAGGGGTATGCTGGGGGCAAAGGGAGACTAGACACGGGACGGAGCCAGGCATCTGTGAGCCTCGCAAGCCCCTCATCTCCCACCAGCTTTGTTATTGTCACTGTGGAATCACAAAGGCGACCCCAAGGGGTGATCTGGAACTGCCCGTCCTCCCAGCCTCCCCAGGGCCGTGCGCACACCCTCCAGAGCAGCCAAGGCCAGAATCAGGTACCCAGCTGCCTTCTGATCCAACCTGGGTCCTGGAGAACTTCGCTCAGCCACAGGAGGGTTTCCCAGAAAGGACTCTATAATCTTTACCTCCTGGGTCGGGCATGAGGAGGTAGCCCCGCCCTCAGCCATGGAGGTCACTGTGAACTGGCCTGGCCTCCTGCTAGTGGAGGAAGTGGGGGATTTTGGAAGGAGAGGGGTTTAATTTCTCATCCCTCCAGCTCCCCAGCCTGTCGATGTGACACACGTGCCCTCCTGACACCTGCGTCCTGTGGGGGTGGTTGAGGCCCTTCTCTTTGAGGATGCGTCCTACTGTCCTTGGGTACCCCTGCCCAGGCCTGCTGCTCAGGGGATGGGGGTGGGGGTGGGGATTGAGGCTACAGGGGAAGGGACCATAGGGCCAGGTTTAGACCAGGATGGCCCTGCCCCAAACTATCCTGCAGCCCTAAACAGCAGACCCTGACCCTATTTACCAGCAAAAGGTGCAATTTCAGGGATGCCCCTGTCCTGGACACCAGCATTCCCCCGTGGCCTGCCGGCCCTCCAGCACCATTCCCGGCCTGCCCGTTCGGTCCTCACACGCCCCTCCCACCAGGCTCTGCAGGCTGCAGGCTTTCCTCTTCGTTCTCAACCTCCAACCTTAAAAGCGTTTCTAGGCCTGAACTTCCCCCCAAACAGAGCCCCAGAGCCCCCCAGTGCCCTGCCGAGACACGGGTCCACTTTCCTCTTGGGGAGCCCTCTGTGGCCCTCATTCAGACAGAAGGCTTCTGTCCACCACTGCTGGAGGGGACGGCTCCCTTCCCCCTCTGCTGGTACTGAGTCATTCCCCAGGAGAAGGTGGCCTGTGGCAGTGGGGGCGGGACTTCTGCTCTCTCTCAGACTTGACAGCTGCCCCTCCCCAGGCAAATGCTGAGCCCCATGTGGCCCCAGCTCTGGCTCATCCTGTACCTCCTCTTCCCCTCCCTCTTTGTGGTTCCCCCTCCCCTGTCTGCACCTCCCTCCGCCCCACCGACCCCTTATCTTTAATGGTCAGTAAGTGAAAAGCAGGAGGTGACAGCAAGACCTCATTCTGACCGCTTCTCACCTCCCTGCTGATGGAAGAGAGAGAGAGAGGGAGGGAGGATGGAACATGAGCAGCGGTCACAGCTCAGACAAGCTGGAGAAGCGCCTGCCAGCGGGCGGCCAGGCAGTGACGGAGGGGGCGGAGGACGCAGGAGCTGGGGTCCAGCTGAGAGGCGGGGTGGCAAGGCTGCCCTCTGTGCAGGGAGCAGAGGCTGGCAGGGCCCTGGGGCTAGCGGGGCAGCAGCCTTGCAGACAGCCACACGGCCCTCTGGGCAGGGGCGGAGGGGAGAAGGACCCCAGGTCACTGTCCTCCCTGGGCAGTGGGCTCAGGCACGGGCGGGGCTGGTAGAAGCAACCGGAGGGCTGGTAAGATCATCGAGCGTTTGTCTGCAAGGCTGGAGAACGGGCAGCTGCGGGAAGATGGGGGGAGGAGGGGCAGGGGATGGAATACCCACCCTGGGGGCTTGTCAGCTGCTGGGGCAGGAAGCTCCTCCGTGTGAAGGTGCCCCCTCCAGGTGTGTTGGGGGTGGGGGCCGTGGGGAGAGAGAGAAGCAGCTGGACTCCCCTGGGGTGTCCCAGGCTTCCCCGTGCTTAGTCAGGCTGGGGGACAGGGCTCCTCCCTCAGAGCCCTAAGTGGGGGCTCCTCCAGCTTGGAGTGGGGGCTGGGAAAGGAGGTGTCTGTGAACTTCGAGGGTCCCTGGAGGCCTGGCAGAACGGAGTGAGGTGCTTCCCGGGGTTCCAGGGGAGCCAGTGGGGAGGGCAGGGCCCAGCAGGGCTCGTGTGTCCTCCTCCCAGGTGACACTTGGGGGCCTGGCGGGGACCAGCTGCTGTTGCTACTTCTCCAGTCCCTTCCCTCCAAGTGGACAGTCTTCAGATGCAGCAGCTCCCCCAGGAAAAGCCCTAAGACAACCCAACCCCACTCTCCCTGTTTCCTCCACCCCGTGGCCAGCTTTCCAGATGGACCAGCTGCTCTGGGCAGAAACTGTCCCCTCCCAGCGGCCCCAGCTCTCCAGTCTCCACCTTCCCTCAGAGGCATCGGGAGGGCAGGGTCTGCCCCGCAGTGATGTGGTCACTTGGGGACTGGATGTAAGAGGTGGTTCTCCGGAGGGTGGGAGGACTGGGGTCTCTGACACCGGTGTGCGGGGGTGCGGACTGGTAGGATGTGGTGTGGCAGGGATGTGCTGGAGGTGCCGTGGGCTTTATCTGCACGGGTTAGTCTGGGAGCTTGGCCTGGGGAGCTGGGCTGGGGCAGGCAGGCTGGGGAGTGAGAGAGGGCACTGTGGCTTAAGTAGGGGCTGGAAGAGTGGCATTACCCATGCTAGCAGTAACTTTTAATTGTATCTCTTGAAATTGGTAAAATGGTGAGTCGGGCTGGGGAGGCATTGATTAAAACCTGAGAAGAGAAACAACAGAGACAGTGAGAAGAGGGGAGGGGCACAGACTCACTCACCTGGGCAACCAGGCCTCCACTCACCTCCACCGTGCTCTCCGCTGCCTTCTCCCCCGGGGGGGCCGCTTCCCTTTTGGCTTTGAATGCAAAGAGCACAGGGCTCACTCTCCACCCATCCTGGCATGACCCCTTCCTCCCCAGCCCCGCACCCCCAGCCAAGCACCCCTGCAATTCAAAGGGCGGGCAGGGGACTCCAGTTGCCCCACCACTCCTGCCTGAGACGCAGCCCCGCAGCCCCAGGGGGCAGTGGGCTGGGTGTCCGAGCCCATTTCTGCTACTTAGTAGCTGTGTGACCTTGGGCAAGACGCTACGCCTCTCTGGGCCCTACCGGCTGTAAGGTCACTGATGTTTTCCTTGCTGGGCATTGTTGAGCCTCCTTTACCCATGGTCAGAGCGCCCTGGCGGACTGTGCAGGCTGGTTATGGGGAGGCCGTAGAACAAAAGGGGGCTCCTGCTCCTCGAGGGAGGGGCTGCGCTCCTTTCCTGTTCCTGCTCCTTAGCTGAGCAGCGAGGCTTCCGTGAGCTGCACTCGCCACAGGGCCTGGCACCACTAAGGGCTCGGTGATTACGCTTTCTGACCCGCCT